TACCAAAGGGGAGGTGTGGAGGGCAGGTGGGGAGGGAGAGAGAAGGGGATTGAGGGGTATTATGTTTAGTACACATGGTGTGGGTGATCACGGGGAGAACAGTGTAGCACAGAGAAGGCACATAGTGGATCTGTGGCATCTTACTACACTGATGGACAGTGACTGCATTGGGGTATGGGTGGGGACTTGATAATAAGGGTAAATGTAGTAACCACATTGTTTTTTCATGTGAAACCTTCATAAGAATGTATATCAATCATAACTTAATTTAAAAAATGTTAGGAATCTTACCTCCTAACTCCCTGGTTTTTAAAATGGAATCTTAGCCTTAAGATGGAGTCCCTCCTGTTCTTACTATACTGTTTATATCTTGGCATTTTTCATCATAGGCAGGAAATTAATCATGATGCTTGTCCCATGTCCCTCCTCTACCTCGTCCTGATGCCATCACTTCCCCTACTGTCTTCCCTGTCATGACAGTGGCCTGGGCCAGCCTCCACCTGGCTTCCCACCAGTGCTTGCCAACCACTTCTGCTGTCCTTTCTTCCAGAGACTCAGATCTTTTGAAGTTTGTGCTATCAGACTTTACTGCCTCCCTGGTATGCTCACTTTCCTGCTCTTTAAAATAACTATTTCATATCTTCTCTTTCACTAAGAGAATGACTCTCCCCTCCTCTTTCTCCATCTCTCTATACCCTTGCCAGACCCTTCAGCCCCAGTGAAAACACTTTTTGAGTGTTCCCCAGCATGGGGGCATTGAGTAGCAAGTACAACCTCGCTACTCAAAGTGTTGTCTCTGGACCAGTATTACTGGGAGCTTAGACTTGCAAAACACCTTGTCCCATGCTGGACCTACTGAATTGGAATCCCCAGGTGATTTATCAGTCCATTAAAGTTTGAGGAGCCCTGGTCCACAGTCTAATATAGGCCCCCTTACTGACCACCAAGGATTGTACTGTATCCCCCACTGTGACAGCCTGGGACTCTGCATCGACTTCATTGAGAGCAATTCCATCCTTCCATATTGAAATTACTGACTTGAATTGCCTCAATGCATGACTTCCCTCTTTTTACTATGGATGAGGGGTTCTAGCTCTTTCAAGAGTCCAAACCCTCTTCCTGTTCTTGGACTCCATTCCTTGGGACAAAATAACAGTATGGCACTTGCTGTCCTTGCCACAGGGAACAAGGGGCCACTGGCCATAACACAACTGTCACTGGGAATCAATGCCAACTCATATGACAACAGATCTGCCTTGAATAAGGGTTAGGGACAAGATCAGCTGTTTGAAGTGTGATTCCAGCAGGAAGAGTCCTTGAGTTTTCTTGGAGAATCAGAAGGGTGGAAACACAATTTGTGTAAACCATGAAAAATAAGGATGTGCATCATTCCAATGCCAGAGTTCAGACTCAGCTGACAAGAGGATTACAGGGGCTGAAGCAAGGTTTTGACATCCTCTCAACCAGCCCTAGCATTTGTCCCTCACTCAACTGCTTGCTGCCCAGAAAGTGGTGATGTGCCCTTCTCCCGCCTCCTTGGCCTGGGAAGCCTCCTTCACATAGCTTCAGCTGCCACTCCAAGCTGGAAGCAGGAGGAGAGATAAGTGAGGAGCATGTCTGCACACAAGCACAGATGCACACTTGGGGCCAGGACAATCCCGCAGCAGGTTGAGGCAGGAAATGAAGTCTCCACTTCTTTCCAGTTAAGGAAATCAGAGCACTAGCTCCCAGTGGAGAAATCAAAGTAGCATTGTTTCAAGAAACAAAACAGTCCAAGAGAGAACAAAGGTTTTGGCATTGGTCCCTCTCAGGAGAGGATGCTATCATAGACACTTTACTCTGCTTAGATGAATCCAGCTTGCCCGAAACTAAAGACCAATTTACAGGTTGGTTTATTAGGATCATGCTCAAGAGCAGCAATGTTCCAGTAGTTTGACTAACACTCAGTGCCTTCACAGTTGTAAAAGTAAGAGCAAATTATGCTTGGCCCCCTGGAAAAGCAGATGAAGAAGCTATAATCCCTGTCCTTGATTGAGTTCATCATCCGGTGGGGACACATGACCAGATCATTTTAATCAATAGTCTGGTGTCAGCCAGGACAGAGCGGGGGGGTCCACTTTCTATAGGAGCTCACAATAGGTAATGCTCAAATTACAAGCCTAAAACACCAGAAGAGGGTTAAATACATCATTCAACACTATCATATGTGGGAATGGAAGGGGGTGAAACTGAGAAAGGAGACACAGAAAGCCTCTGATGGGGTAAAGGGATTAGATAATTAGCATATGTATTCTTCCATAGCATGATAAAACCAATGAATGAAGCTGAGTCTGACAATACTGATCTTCTGATTGAACTGTGTAAGGTTGGAGGCACCAGAGGGAGGGGTGAGCGTGTTGGACACTGATGACCAACACGCTGGTGTTGGTGCTGGTGATTGGCTGCAGGCTGTTGATGATTGGCTCCACCCAACCCAGTGAACACACTGACATCTAGTTAATTTGATTTGCCTGCAGCAAGCACCTTCTCTGTGTTCCAATGCTCTGTAGTGAGCATCAAGACTGACTAGTACTTCTCTAACATACCCAAAAGACCAGAGCATCTACCTTTAGGAAACTACCTTTAGGAAAAAACTGTACTGGCTTATGCTTCAAATTCTAGTTTTAGGAGCCAATACTAGTTTCCTTTAAAAGGTCTTTCTTGCTTGTCGGCTACTTTATTCTCCCAGGGAGGAAACTGTTCATTAGTGGAATCAAAACAAGGGATACCTAAGCTCCAGGAAAGTCATTTTCCTGGGAACTAAATTTTTTTTCTTAAGAGGAACTGGGAAAAGTTAAGAATTTTTAAAAGGTTGACCTATGAAAGAGTAACTGACCTAGTCCCCACTTGGTCTAAACAAGGACTAGTGAGCTTGGTGAACAAGTACCAGACATTCAGAACCGATGTGATCACAGGGAGGACTTTACTGGGAATTTGTCCCATGCCCATCACTCAACTTGCCTTGATAATCCTCACAACAATCTTGAGTTAGGTATAGTCTCCTGCTGTAAGAGAATTCAGTTGCCCACTTAGGAAACCTCTTGTTAATAAAGAGTCATTTCAGCAGAGGAAGTGATTTAGCGTCAGAGTCAGAATAAGAAAGTGGTTTTTCTTGCCTAAATTTAAACAAAATTTATTTTAAAAATTAATGGTTCTAATTATGGTTGAGGCACTTGGTATAGAATAGCTTGGTCTAGGGCCTCTAGTATCTGGGTCTGAATGAACATGAAAGCCACTGTAAATCACGTTCTCTAATTGTGATAGATCCAACCGAGGCTTTCAAAACGTTCAGTGTAGAAGTAGCTTGTTTCAGATGAGGAAAGTGGCCTACCGAGAGGCAACCAGCCCAAGGTCGCATGGTCTGCAGGTGTCACAAAGGGAGATTCTGCTCCAGGATTCCTGGCTCCCAGTGTCTGCCCTTGGCAGCCGACCCTCGCTGCCTCCTGACGCGGCTCTGCTCAGGGGAATCCGGCTGATTTCCGCTTGAAGATGGCCACTCGGGGGGATCCCGAGCTTCCCTCCTCCCACTGACACAACCTACGGCTGCATATGGAACAATTTCCTCTGGGAAAAAAAAACGAAGAGCTAGAGGAATGACTATTTCACAACAGAAAAATGAGGAAAAAAACCCACATGGAAGCAGGTAGGAAAGGCTGACCCAGCCTCCCCATAACACGCCCCCCAGTCCCCCAGGCCCTGCGCAGCGGCCCAGAACGGGGAGGGAGCCCCAAACCCGGGGCTTCCCCGGGGAGCAACGGTTTGTAACCTCCCTGGAGTGCCCCAACTTTTAAGGCCTGCATCTGAGAGACGAGCCCCCAAAACACCTAGCTTACAAAACCAACAGGGCTCGTGCCCGAGAAGATGTGAGGGGCTGCGGCGAACTGAGGACCGTCTCTTAAAGGACGTGCACGTAGACTCACTCACCGCAGGGCCTGGAGAAGCAGCAGCCTCGGAAAAGCGCCCAGACTCCTGAGGGCACCTCATTTACTGATCATCAAGCACGGACTGAGGGGCAGGGCCTGCTGGGATACCCTCCAGTGGGGAAGCTGGTGGGCGCCATCTTCCTGTCTCTCTGGGTCCTGCTCCAGCTGCGGGTGCCATCGGGTTTCACTCTAGGCTCCCCCCTTCCCTTGGGCGCCATCTTCACGCTGCGTTGGTAACGGTGGCGGGTGCTATCGTTTTTTCTTTTCTTCTCTGTCTTTGGTGGGCGCCCCCCGACCTGCGATGCTTCTGCCTAGCTGGGCACTACCCCCAGCTGTGCTCCAGAGGGCTGGGACCTCACGTTTATATGTAACAAACTGGACAACGCAGGCAGAAAGGAGACAGGAGACCTAGATTCTAGTTGGAACCTCACCTTTAGTAGCTGCGTGAACTTCTCAATCTCAGGCCTTCACCTTTCAAAGGAGGATATACACCTTGCCTCCCTTAGTCCAGTTCCTAGAGCTGCACGGTAACCCCCACCGCTTACAACCCCTCCCTTAACCCTCCACGTGGTCAGTCCTTCAGGTCATCCAGGGTCTCTGTCCTTCCGGAGACCTTGCCTCAACTTGGTCCTTCCTTGTTCTCCTACAACCTGTGCAAACATCATCCCATTTTTCACACCATGGGGACAGTGAAGGGATATTCTCCATTAGATTCTGGAGGTCAGACAGACATTGTGTCGTACCATTCTCAATGCCTAATCTAATGTATTTAATTCATCACCAAATTAATTGCAGCTCTTTTACAAACTAGTGCTACATAAAAATATTACTCTTGTTAACCACTAAATATTTAAAAATAAAAATTAAATTAGTTTTAGTTTTTTTTGTATCTTCAAAAAAACTCCACAAATCTCCAAAGAAATGACAAAGGTTTTGAGTAAACAAACTTTGACTCAATTCAGGTCCTTCCAAATATTTGCATAGTTTATTTATATTAAATCTTCATATGAAATTGAACCAAATAAAAATGACACAAAATTACCCATAAAAGTTGGCAAAAGAAGTTTATTATGTGGCATAGGTGGGTCTTTGAATTCCAGTAACAGAAAAGCATTTTTCCACTCTTACTCAACCTAACAAATTATATATTTGTGATTTTATCTACGTGGCTTGCAGTATCACACTATTAAAGAAAACCTGCCTCTCATTTGTACTTTGGTGCAATTATACAGTAGATACCTCTTCCTCCAGAAAATAAAAATATTCTTGATCTAAATTTAAAATGAAACAAGTTTCTTGCACCACTTGGTAAAAGACTGCAATAAAAATCAAAACAGTAAGCCACTTAACAAAGATGATGAGATGTCTGCTACAGTTTCAGTCAAACCTCTGCAGGAATGATTTACCAGCTGGCTTCATCTGCCCGGCAGTTTTCACACATGACAGGCGGAACTGTGCCATGGATAGTCACATTCTTCATTTGCTTAAAGGACTCAAATATTGGACTCTAGCATGGGAAATGTCTCTTGGGGCTTAGTAATATACAAATGAATAGAAAAAAAATAGCCTTAGGAAAAATTTCACAATTGTTTGACTAAACAACTCAAACGTTTTTATCACAGCTTTCATATATTAAAAAAGTTTCCTCCAGAGATGACGCTTATTTCTGAAATAAACCCTAGTCACTGTCATCCGATCCACGTTCTGAGCCTCGATCCGAGGCCTCGTTGTTGGATCCCTCGGGTTCCGATTCATTTCCAGAGCCTCGGCGAGAACCCTCGTTATCAGATGCTCTCTCTGAATCGCGATCTGACTCGGCACTTGGAGAGGCTGGGCGGGAGTCCACCTCCGAGCCTCCCGAGTGGCTTCTCCCGGACCGCACAGACTCGTTGTCAGACGGTTCGGAGCCCGAGGGCCGCCTCTTTCCGGCTGGCTGGTCACTGTCTGAATCCTCATCGGACCGCTGTCTTCGGGGCCTGCGGGGGCTGCCAGCCTCGCTGCCGGACCTGTGCTGGTTCTCATCGGAATCACTCTCGGAAGAGGTGCGCTGGTTCCGCGGTTCCCCCTCGTCTGTGTCGCTGTTGCTGTTGCGGGGGTGTCTGCCAAAGACAAGCGCTGGTTAGACTCCCAGGCTCCGGCCTGTGGGCGCCCTCACAAGCAGAGAATGGGCTTTTGAAAAATAAGGGCATTTAATGTTCTATTGTTTTTATCTGGATGGTGTTCACAGAGGTGTTCATTTTGTGACATTTGTTTTGTGTACTTTATGTAAATGTGATTATTTCACAATAAAGGATAAAAAATGGAAAAAAGAATGAGGCACTTTAGTGAGCAGACAACACTATATAACAGTGAAGGATGACTTTCACTGGGTTCTATCAGGTATCTTTCATCAGAATGAAATATTTCTCAACGTCATGTCTAAAATTATGAAAAGAAAGGTTTGCATTTGCTTATCTTTATACACAAGTTCATAGCAGCAGAGGTGAAACCCAGGATCTCACCTGGCTATACAGATGTTGAAAAATTAACCCTCTCCCAGGGTGAATGAGTGAGACACTTCCCTGTCCGATTACCGTCTGTGCTATCAGGATACCTGAAGAGCAAAGTCACCATTCCTATCCTAGTGCCACAGCACTAGGGCCCTCCACTGTGACTAGACTTACCCAAGACGGGAAGCTGGGGCTAAAGGGTTCTGCTGCTTGTTTACTTGTGCTTGAGTTCCCCCTACTTATCAGTTGCTATGTTAAAGGTAAGGGGATTATGCTTATGCTCGGAATGGTGGTGGCACCAGGGAATTTTGGCTTCCTGGAGGCTCTGGAGCAAACATTCCCTTTACCACCGTGGCAGCTGCTCACCACCCCCAGACTTTTGGAGAAGAGGAAACACTTCTCTGCTGGCATATTCCTCAGTTTGAATTTACATGGCAATATTAGAAGAAAGGAATATTAAATCCTATGGGGTTCAGTCTACTAAGGGTGAAGGAGGTGAAATATATTCACCTCCCTGCAGAAATAAAAACATCTTTGCAGACTGAAGAAAGGCTCCTTGTGCCCACATCTGAAAGAAGAAACCTCGACACACATTATGGAACTCAGGTCACTGAGAGTTGAACCTGCAGAGTGACTAGAAGAAGACACTGTATGTTGATCCTTTATATATACCAAAGGCCAGCAGGCCCCCAGGGCCCTGTGCGCTCCATCTACTTGGCCGAATAAACAAATGTGTCATGATGGTCAGGACAAAGTTTAACTGAGGCAAGTGGCTCAAATCAACTTAATCAACTTGGCCTTGACCTCAGGTGTAGGTTGGCAGCAGCTCAGCCTCTCACATTGAACTTTCTGCCTAAACCATATGTTTCATTGCTCTGCTCAAGCATGGCTCTAGCCAATGGCCCAGGGCAAGGCCATGGGCAAGAGCAAGCAGTACTCTTGGGAGAAGGAGTCCGAATTTGTATCAGCCAATGTCTTCAGGGAAAAGCGGACTGCAAGTCTTTACTTATGGTTCCCTACAGACATCTACCCTCCAAGGTCAGCTTCCCCAGCACCCTTAGCCCCCTCAACACGCTAACCTCTCACCTCTGCCTCTCCTCTAATCAGCCAGGAGTCTATTCTAAGACTCAACTCAAAAAGCCTATTATTTTTTAATAGAAACATTTCTGACATCCCCTACCATTCCAACTCCAGATTAGGTGTGGTTCCTGGACAGCAATAAAGGAAAAACTTAGTGATAACACTTATGCCACTATAATGTTTATCCATTATTCTCCACTACCTATGAAGCATAACATCCCCAGGGGCATGGTCTATGCCTATCTTCTGTATCCCAACACATAGCACACTCTCTCACAGAATAGATGTTCCAAAGTCTGTTGAATGAGTGAATGAAACAGCCTAAGAAGAACACGGTGTGGTATAGATCAGGAATCCTAGTCTAGGAATCCAAATTGGTAAGGGGGCACCTCAAGCTGGAGGGAGGGGAAGGTCAAGAAAGTCCCTATCTCCATGTGGCCAGGATCAGGCAACCCACTCATCACACTGCTCCCAGCCAGTCGGTAGTAGTGTAGCAGAATGATATACTGTGTTTAGGAGGATGTCACCTGGGAAATTGCAGCTAATATCCACGAAAAAATGAGATTTCAGAACAGGTTTTCTTTTCTGAGGGACCAGCACACAGTAGGACAAAATGAAAGGGTTAGAGTAAGATATGCCAAGGTTTCTTCCAGCTTTACAGTTCTAAGAAGCTGAGTAAAGCCATGGCACAGCAACAGCTCTCAGTTACCTTTCCTCAAAAGATATACCAAGGGAAAAATTCCTACCCTTCATCAGCAATTTTAAGTTTATCCTCATCTGAAGAATCATCACTGGATGATATTATGGCTTTGGATTTTATTTTTCCCTTCATTGAAGGAGGCAGACGCTCTGGCTTGGACTAAAGAAAGAAGAAAAATAACAGATCAGTCAAGACTCTCACATTAGGACATCTTGTTAAACTGGGTTTGTACTGTAGTGATACAATCAAACAGCAACCAATAAACAAGCATCTGTGCTTGAAGAAATTGCAGGGAGAGAAAGCATGCTAATGTCCTGCAACCCTATGTCTACAGGGGATAGAAAACCCAGTACTGTGTATAAACTTACAGCCTTCTTCTTCTCTGCTCTTGATGGACGGCGCTTTTTCAGTCTGGGGCCATTTTCTGTTTCATCATCGTCAGATCCTTCTTCTCCCTTTGGAGGTCTTAGGTAGTGAACACCAAGAGAAAGTTTGTCAGGATTCACTCATGCCTATAAAGTTGAAGACTACTTTGCATCAAAACATTGTCCATTCTGAACACACTACTCTGAGTGCTGTCCTCGACCACAGCGGGCACTCCTCAACGGCAGATGCCGTAACTTACCCTTGTTGCAGATGGCTCGGTAGTCTGTAAAAAGCATGTATTTGTGCCACATCTGCCAACTAATTTATTCACTGTTGAGCCCCTTATTAATCTAAGATAAGCTTGAATCTTCCACTTGGTAGAATGATAAAGGATGTGAGGCAAGACCAGACTCCAGACCTCAGTATCTTTCTCCTCCTTCTTCCTTCCCAAGTGCTCACTCTAGGCTTGCTCATGCCTCAGCACAGCTTCAGCTCCACAGGTCTGTATTTAAATGAATTCATCAGGTTCTTTCCCAAATGTAATCAGCCATGGGAAGGGAAGAACAAGTCTAGGTAAGGTAGCCAATCAGCGGTTCTTGGACAAGGAAGCACCACGAGAGAGGAAAGGGACAGCTTAGGGGTACCTCCAGGTGAGGGATGGGCCTGGCACCACATATCTTAATAGCCGATGGCACTGGGAAGATAAGAACACCCTTCTTTAGCACTAATTAACATTTTATATGTCCAGGAAAACCATGAGGGGGGCATCACAATTACCATTTCACAGAGGGGACACTGAGGCTTGGTAAACTTTCTAACACTGCACATGGACAGTTAGTGGGGATGCACCAGGCTTTCTCATTCTAAATTGCATACATTTTCCAATTAATATTACAAAAAAGACATAAGAAAGGCAGTTATGACTAATGTATAGCTCTCAGAAGGCAAGCTGGGGAGGTATGTGGGGATTCCAAGTACTTGGGATTTTGTACTGGAGTCTATTTTAGGATTAAAACAGGAAGTGGGGAACCAAAAGGCTTCATTGTCTCGGAAGATCAAGTGATTATCAGGTATTCTCAAATTCTAAATGTAAGAAAGATTCAGAAGGCAAAAGGTCTTCTGCCACCTTTATAAGGTTATTTAAAACACATTAATGATAATACCTTCTCCTCTTCTTCTTCTTTCTTTCACCACTCTCCTCTTCTTCACCTTCCTGTTCACTTCCACTACCCTTCCTTCTCTTCTTCTTTTTGGATATAGGCAGGTCATCATCGGTGTCGTCATTGACAAACTCATCAAACTCCCCTCCCTTCTTAGAACGCTGAAATTCAAACAGGTGACAGTCAGTTCTTTCCTGCCTGGGGAAGTGTGGCTGGAATGCTATGGTCTAGAGAGAGGCCTTATCCTATTATCTGGCAAACAAAGGATGTTTTACCAAGTCACAGAGAAATGTTTGGTAAGGCCCATATTTTAAAGACTTCTAATTAGGATGAATGTCTCAAGTGGCAAAAATCAGCAACTACTTAGGTCACTGCAAGGTAAAATGTACTGAGCTAACATTGGAATGCATTTTTAAACACTGGATACCATTTAAAGCTCTCTGTTGGAAGACTGTCTCTTAACAAAGGAGGAAGTCAAATCTAAGGACTAAGTACTGAGTGAATATAGCCAATTATCTCCATTTCTGAAAGTCAAGACAGACTGGTGCCATCAGAGTTAGTAGGAGCCGCATCAGAGTTAGTAGGAGCCGTATCTTACCCGTCCACCACCACCACCTCTCTTCTTTTCTTTTGCTGCTTCAGACTCTCCAGTAAACATAAGGATATTTTTGGTCTTCTCTACATACTGGGCCCGCTGTTCCAGAAGTTTCTTTTGCTCTTCCTTTTCTCGGAGACGTTTTTCTTCCTATGAGGTAAAAAGCATAGGAAAAAACTTCACCAGAATGTTCTTAGGATGAAAAAAATCATAGCTACCATCAGAAGGGAATTTTTTAACATACAAAGTATATAAAGGCACACAATTTTCTAATCGTAGTATAATTAAACACACAATACCTGTTCTTTGAGAAGTTTCTGCCTTAGCAGTTCTTTTTCTTGCTCTTGTTTGGCCCGCAGCTCCCTCTCTTCTTCATCCTGTTTGCGTGCCCGGGCCACATGGTACTGGGCCTGGCTCAGCAAGTCAGAGCATTGTCTAGGACAGTTCAGATTTAGAGAAATATGCATGCAGCTGGTATATATTTTTGTTCAAAAACTCAAAGCATCTGTTTTCCTTACATAAATTAAAAAGTCTGAAGCAGGACCGTTAGCTGATATTTATGAGAAGACTTAATCAGTAAAATTAACTTAGTTTCTCATAAGCCAATATTGTCAACTGCATTAAGTTTCCAAAGCATAAAAGTTTTCCCAAAGCACAGCTGAAAAGATTTCCAATATTATCTTTACACATGACTCAAAGAGTCAGGAATCATATTTTGATTCTGGTGACATAGCTGATGTTAGTGAAATAGATAGAAAAGAATTTTCCTAGCTGACTTAAGCACTTGCACTAAATCAGTTCTGCCATATTTCCTGAAAGAATCCTTAGGAAAAAGTCTTGGTCCAGGCTAAGAGTCCCAGAGAGGAGTGTGAAAGACTGATCCCAGGAAGGCCAGTAACCTGTTCACTACTGCATCACTCTCCCAGCCCACATGGATATCACCGACATACCCAAAGTCACCTTCTAAAGTAGTTAACATTACCTGGCTTCTGTAGCAGCAAGGGCCAAATCGAATCTCATTTTATCTCCCACTTTACTCAAGTAACTGAAGTATCTAAATAGAATGGAAAAATAAAATACCTTACTTGACAAAAAAATTCTAATGAAATAGGCCCTTTAGATTTTAATCTGTTCTACAAAAATAGTCTGAGAAAAGGCTTACATACTGATTGACTTGCATGAATGTATTTAATACTCAAAGAGCTATCATCTCAATAGGAAAATTATATATGCAACTCTTTTAAAAAAAAGAATCTCATCAATATACTACTAAATACGTTGACTAAAAGAGAAGCTCATTAAGGTATGCAGTTATATTTAATGTTATCAGTAAATTCACAAATAACTAAAAATCAGTTCAAGCAATTAGTATTTTAATTAGTACTAAACACTAAACGGACTAACTTTGACTAAAAGAGAAGCTCATTAAGGTATGCAGTTATATTTAATGTTATCAGTAAATTCACAAATAACTAAAAATCAGTTCAAGCAATTAGTATTTTAATTAGTACTAAACACTAAACGGACTAACTATGTCAGCATGGAGGTTAAGAGGCATAGACCATGAAGGCACTTACACTCTATGGGCAAAGCAAGAAAGCTTAAACAAGAATTCAAATAAGGTTGGACAGAACCTGAAGAGGTATCAGGTTTTAATTTTACCACATACTAATTACCAAGTAAATACTATAAAGTTCCACATTGAGCTGAGTTGAAAAAACCTACTTTTACCACACACTAATTACTAAGTATAAATACTATAAAGTTCCACATTGAGCTGAGTTGAAAAAACCTACTTAAGAGGAAAGGCCTTAATCATACATAGCTCAATGTAAGTCAATAAAAAGACACACTTGGATACCAAGTAAAACCAACGTAAGTAGAGTCCAAAATTTCAAGTAGGTAAGATGCTGAGTTGTATTATTGTCAAATTAATGAAAAATTTAGGGCAAGCTTGCAAAGCTAGCCAGCCAGTCCTAGGGGTCAGTTTATGGGACAGGCTCCTAAGTACGGTCTGGTGCCACCTGGTGGCAGCTGTCTGCTTTGGCTTAAAAATAGAGGGATTGATTCTGATAGAAAATGAATTCCCTTTTGAGGGAAGTGATTTTCAGCACCTTTTGAGACATGGGTTTAAGGAAACAAAGCACTTCAGAGGTTGTTTCTACAAAGTCTTTACCTGTGTGCAAGCTCCAGTTCTTTCACAGCATTAAGTACTTCCTTCAGATTACTCTTTTCATCTTTCAGGACAGAGGTAGCTAATCTTTGCAGGACCAAGGCCACATTAAACATAAGAACTGTATCACTGGGTGCCACATGTCTAGCCTATAAAAAAAAAGGCAAATCTTTCATATATTCTAATAATATAGGAAGGACTTTAGTCAAATAGAGGGTTAGGTATATGAACATGCACAAAACAGAATTTAAAATAATACAATGCAGCACAGAACTGGATGAGAATAATAACAAGTTCTTTTTACCTTCAGCAAAGTCTGTTTGCATTCCTGTAACTTGCCACACTTGAAGAGGGCCCGAGCCAAATACAGCAGAACTTCAGTGTTCTGGTGCTTATAGAACTTTCTGAGGCAGTTTTCATACTATAATACAACAAAAAGTTAATTAAGATACAACAGGATTAAATTACATTGTCATTTTGTAACAAATTTTCAAGTGATTTGAAAGCTCAATGAAAAGGTATTTCACCCTTTCAATGGTTAATTTCAAAGAATAACTGAGTGACTTTTGACATTCACCAGGTTACATTTTCACAACATAGAAATCTAATCATAAGAAAAAGTAGAGACTCAAAATAATTGTTACATTTGAAAACTGGACCAACACTAAAAGGAGAAACAGACTGGAAGACTGGAAGGCCCTTTTCATCTTTAGTAATACTATCTAGAATCAGCTTATTAACGACTTACTAGAAGTCATACACTTAGCTTCTATGGTTATGCTCTCTGCCACCTTCCTTTAGGATTGGTGGAACCTACTGACAATGAGCATGAGAAATTGCAGTTTTATTTAACTTCTTGGTAAAACCAGTATAGCAACACGGGTATTAATTTTTCCATGAACATGTCACTTTTTTACCACGGAACATATCTTGTCATAGGAAAGAGCTTTTTCATGGAAGATGGCTAGAAAGCTTCCCCTGAATACACTAGTTATTAATTTGTTATACTTTTTCTATTTGAGTGCTTGAACTTGAAATAAGAGTCATACTCAGCATCTATAGTATATTAAAAAGTAAAAAGGTATTTAAAAAGTATTTTTAAAAGGCAACACTATTATTCTGCAGATCAGGAAGGCTGACCTCCAAAAATATGGCCTCTGAGACTACCATATACAATTTGGGCTCTTCAAGTCCTTTGACTAATGCCTTTCCAATATTCTGAACTCAATAATAACCACCTTTCTTAGAAAAAAAATGAACCACTTCCCAGAGCCTGGACTGCTCTTGTCTTCTCCTTTTGGTAAGGAGTTGGTTTTTTCTGACCATAGTATTTCCCATAGAGCCTTAGAGCCTTTTTACTTTTTAATATACTATAGACGCTGAGTATAACTCTTATTTCAAGTTCAAGCACTCAACAAATAGAAAAAGTATAACAAAATCCTATAGTCATGAAAACTTTCCCCCCAGAGCTTTTTTCTCTTTTTAAAATGTCATTTAGCCTTTCTGAAACTCAGTTCTCCTTTCTGAGAAATTAAAGGGTAAAATAAGCAAATGAATATTAAGTACTACAATCTTCTGGGTACTTACTGATCTGGCAGGTGTGTCAATGCCAAGTATGCTGCCAAGTATTTTTAATACTAGATCCTCACAAAATTCTATGAGATTAACTATCTATATTTTACAGACAGAGAAACTAGACCAGAGAGGATACCCTTTGCCTAAGGCATGCAACGAGTGGCAGAACCAGGATGTACATCTCTGTCTGGACATCAAAGACTGGCCTTAATATTATGTAATTATAAATGTTCAAAGAGACACAGTATAACAAGAGGTAGCATGCAGCCTCATAGCAGGGCTATATAATTAAGAAAATATGTGCTTAACAATGAACATGATACTAAAATATCTTGCAAGGTAAGACATTACCATCTGAACAGCACTGATATATTGCTTTTGTTCCACATAGATATGTGCTAGGTTCAACCACACATCACTGATATCTGCTGTTGCTTCTCTTACTTGGGCAAATACATCACGAGCTTCACGGAAATATCCTTTGTGGGCCAAAACAGCTCCTAAAATTATGAAAAGGCCTCACATTTAATAATTTTCTCATTGAAGCCAGAAAAACAACTGAAAGTCCTGTTTTAAAATAGTTCATAAAACCTTTAGTACATCTAACATCTAGGGAGAAATTCTGATCTTTAAACATTCCTCCAAAAGCATTCATTTCACAAATCATTATGGATATGCAAATCTTATAATCACCTATGCCATTAGCAGCATACAGATTCTTCGCATCATTTCTGAGTACTTGTTTGTAGATGGCGAGGGCACGATCTTGATGACGCTTTTCCTATAAAAAGAAACAAACATTTTTTTTTAATTCAAACTAGAATCAAACAACTATCACTTTTGTTCTAAAGAGACAAAAAGAAATTACCTTTTCTCGATCTCGAGTGGGCTGATGCAAAGTTTGGAGCCAGACATTGCCAAGGGCTAGCATAGAGTAAGTGTCACTCTGTGTAGCTGGTTGTTTTAATATCCTCTCAAATTTCTTCTGGCCTGGGCCCCACTCTTGTTTCGCCAAATGAAGATTACCAATCAAAGACCAAGCATCTGGATGGTCCTGAAACACATATATAAAAAGAAGCAAATCTGCAATTTGGATTCAGAGAGATCAATCATCTTTCCACAGTAACTGATTACTGAAGAGGTCTACAAGCTACATTTACAATGGCATTTTTCAAACTGACAGCTTAAAGAGATCAGTGAATTGTAAAATCAATTTACTGTGTAGTTATCAGCATAAGTGATGCAATGAAATACAATGTGGTAAAAATATCAGTGTACTGTACATGGCAAAGAGTACATAACGATTTGCAAAACTTTCAGTTGTTCACACACACACGTGTATATGAGGCTATGATGGGAGATCTATTTCTTATGGTGGGTCATCATCAAAAACTGTAGATGACTCCTGTACTGACACACCTCATTTTGTTGTACTTTGCCTTACTGTCCTTTGCAGATACTGTGTCTTTACCAATTGGAGATTGTGACAACCCTGTGTCGAGCAAGTCTATAGGCACCATTTCTCCAACAGGATTTACTCACTTCATGTCTCTGTCACATTTTGGAAATTCTTGTGATATTATAAACGTTTTTAGTATTATTATATTTGTTATGGTGATCTGTGATCAGTGATGTTCAGCTGATGAACAGTTGATTACCATTGTAGTTATTTTTGGGTGCCATGAACCATGCCTATATAAGATGGTAAACTTAACTGATAAATGTTGCATGTGTTCTGACTACTCTGCCAACCAGGAGTTTCCCCATCTCGCTCTCTCTCCTCAGGCCTCCTTATTCCCTGAGACACAACACTGAAATTAGGTCAATTAATAACCCTACAATGGCCTCTAACTGTTCAAAAGAAAGGAACAGTTGCATTTCTCACTTTAAATCAAAAGCTAAAAAATGACTAAGCTTAAGACATGTGGAAAGCTGAAACACACTGAAAGCTAAGTTAGACAGGCTAACTGAAACAGGTGAGTTATAAATGCAAAGGAAAAGTTCTAAAGGAAATGCTACTCCAGTGAATACATGATTGATAAGAAAGTGAAGCAGCCTTATTGCTGATGTGGAGGAAATTTCAGTGGTCTGGACAGAAGATCAAACCAACCATGACATTCCCTTAAGCCAAAGCCTAATCCAGAACAAAGGCCTGTCATTAATTCTATGAAGGCTGAGTGAGATAAGGAAGCTGTAGAAGCTAGCTAGTCTGAAGCTAGCAGAGGCTGGTTCATGAGGCCTAAGGAAAGAACCACCTATATAACATCAAAGTGCAAGGTGAAGCAGCAAGTACTGATGTAGAAGCTGCAGCAGGTTATCCAGATCTAGCTAAGATCATGAATGAAGGTGGTTACACTTAATAACAGATTCTCAATGTAGATGAAACAGCCTTATATTGGTAGAGATGCCATCTAGGACTTTCATAGCTGGAGAAAAGTCAGTGCTTGGCTTCAAAGCTTCAAGGGACATGCTGACTCTTATTAGGGGCTCATGCAACTGGCTACCTTGAGTTGAAGATGCTCATTTACCATTCCTAAAGTCCTTAAGAATTATGCTAAATCTACTCTGCTTGCGTTCTATAAATGGAACAACAAAGTCTGGATGACTCACATCTGTCATCGTTCATTAAATATTTAAAGCCCTCTGTTGAGACCTACTGCTCAGAAAAAAAGATCTCTTTCAAAATATGACTGCTCATTGACAATGCATCTGGTCACCCAAGAGTGCTGATGGAGATGGACAGTGAGATGAATGTTGTTTTCATGCCTGCTAACACAACATCCATTCTGCAGCCCATGAATTAAGGAATAATTTCAACTTCAAGTCTTATTATTTAAGAAAAACATTTTGTAAGGCTATAGCTGCCATAGATAGTGATACCTCTGATGGATGTGAGCAGAGTCAACTGAAAACCTTCTGAAAAGGATTTAGCATTCTAGAGGCCAGTAAGAACATTCATGATTCATGGGAAGCGGTCAAAATATCGACATTAACAGGAGTTTGGAAGAGGTTTATTCCAACCCTCATGGATGACTTTGAGGGGTTCATGACTTTAGTGGAGGAAACAACTGCAATTGCAGTGGAAACAGCGAGAGAACTAGAGTTTAAAGTGAAGTCTGAAGATGTGGCTGAATTGCTTCAATCCCATGACAATACTTGAATGGGTGAGGTGTTGCTTCTTATATATAAGCAAAGAAAATGATTTTTTGAGATGAAATCTACTCCTTCAACAAGTTTTGGTGATGATGCTGTGAAGATTGTTGAAATGACAGTAAAGAATTTAGAAAACTACATGAACTTAGTTGATAAAACAGGAGCATTGTTTGGGAGGATTGACTCCAATTTTGAAAGAAGTTCTACCATGGGTAAAATGCTATCAAACAGCATTGTAGGCTGCAGAGAATTTTCTGCAAAAGGAAGATTCAGTTGAAGGAGCAAACTTCATTTTCATTTCAAGAAATTGCCACAGTCAGCCCAGCCTTCAGCAACCAGCACCCTGATCAGTCAGCAGCCCTTAACACTGAGGCAAGACCCTCCACCAGCAAAAAGATTATGGCTCACTGAAAGCTCAGATGATGGTTAGCATTTTTTGGAAATAAAAGTATTTTTAAATGTTTTTGTAGATGTAATGCAATTGCACACTTAATAAACTACTGTACTGTGTAAACATAACTTTTGTATGCACTAGGAAACAAGAATTAATCTGACTTGCTTTATTGTGATGCTTGCTTTATCATGGCTGTCTATAACAGAAAATGCACTATCTCTGAGCTATACTTGTTAGTATCTTTAACAAGTAAATGGGAGATGCCAAGATATTAGAAATGTGATTGCCATTAAAAGGAAAAACTGATTTACTGGGGGAACAAAGTTAAATAACTATTTTTCAAACATAAAAGTTAATATTACCAACCTGATTAATCTGAAGAGCTTCCTTGAACCAATCAGAAGCCTCATAAAAGTTTCCTTTATCTCTAGCCATGGCTCCTAGCCGCAGATAGCCTGAAAATATACATTTAAAGCTTTTATCTTTAAAATAATAGCTATAATAAAGAATCATAATTTTAAAGTCATACATTCAAAACAATTGTTTTTTATTAACACATTCATACAATGAACAGAAAGTCCCCTCAGGTGAAAGAATATCAAACAATATAACTAATAATCTAACAAGTTAAAGAGCAACTCTGTCACCTTCAAGTCTTATTGTTTGAAACCTCAGTTTTATCTCTTCCACTTCATTCCCAATGCTAGCATTCTGGTCAAAGTCCTTAACTCAAGCTGTTATTTTAAAAGCTTGGAGCTGTCTGTTTCCAATTTCTCTCTCAAGTATAGTTCTGTCAGCTTCTTTTTCTTAAAAAACTGCTTATTCTGGCAAAACAGTGAAAACATGGACTACTACGGATTACCGGTTTGAAAACCTGGTCTCTAACTGTGGTTCTTCCCTTTAAATGAACACAAATATAAGTTGTTATTTTCTCCAGTAAATGTCACTCTCCTCAAGAAACCAGTAATGGCTTACTACTGCCTATCAAATCAATTCAAATTTAGTCTAGCATTCAACTAAAATCTTACTTATTTAAAATCACTTTTGTATCCATAACAGCATGGCAGAAGCCAAATCAATAGCTCCTGATTTAACCAAGGTCAAAACATCATAGCTTCAGGTTCTTTTTAGGGAAGTACAGTATGTATATTTTTAATTAAAAACTTTTGGAATTTCATAACATCTAGGTTGTAAATACTCAAGGTAGGACATTTTTTAGTAATAATTATTTCAAGGGAAAACATTGCTCTATTATAAACAATGCAAATAAAATGTTTATATGAAATCAAAGCAGGACCATCAGAAAGGTAAATCCGTCACCAAATATGCCAAGCACTTGTTAAAAATTTAATAAATGTAGCTTACCCACTAAAGATAAGCAAGTCTAAGACACATGGTCCAACTGATTTTTAGTTGTTTATAAGTTTCTAGCATAAATTTAAGTCAAGCTGCATCTTTTTTTTTTTTAAGGCCACAATTTGCCTTGAAGAGAAGGGGATATTATAACCTTCTAAAGTTTTTACTATTGGTTCTAACAAAGATATTTTTTTCAGGCTAAATTTTTTCTGCTATAGGAATTTTAATATACAAACACAAAAAAGTTTAAAATTCTTACAGTCAACATAATTAGGATGTTCCCGTAAGATGTCTTTATATATTTTTTCTGCTTCATGGAATTCACACATTGCCTCATACAGTCTGGCTAAATTGTATGATGTTGTAACAGAAATGGCATTATAATAATGTTCATCATGCTCAGCTTCTGCCTTTGCACGATCCAATGACGCCAAAAAATATTTCTATGAGAAAGAAAATTACATTGTTAAAAGACTTAGGTGCTACATCTAAAAAAGTGTGCATTCAACTTGACAGTATTAAAAAAAGGAAGTATTTCTATTTTCCTACCTTTGCCTCTCCTAAATTTCCAAGTCTAAAGTGGAGGGCACCCACATTATTCAGAATCTCTGGGGGGACATCGGCCTGGACTTTCTCCTGAAGGATCCGTGTTGCTGTTCCATAGGCTGAAAGGGCACCCTGTATTTTCATGGTGGACAGAATAAGGTGTATATGTAAAAATGAAAGAAAGACTACACCAAGCATTAGGTAGGAGATGAAAAACATTGCTAAAATACCTGTATATCAGTCTGTTCTAAGATTTGTGCCAATTCAATCCAAGCTTCAACATCATCAGGATACTGTTCTGTGACCTTCTTCAAATGACCCTGGGATCAAACAGATTATCAACTAAAGTATTCCAACTCCCGGCTGTCAAAGTAAAGAGTGGTGGCTACTCTACCTTGCTTAATAATTCAACTGTTTTTATTTCAACTGGAACAAGCTCAGCTGACAAAACTGTTTACATCACATTTCCACTAGCAATAAGGAGGAATAAGAGTCTAAGGATAACTAACAGAAAAGAGCTATGATTTTAAAAAACATACCTTGGCGATATCTCGTTTTTCTTGATCTTCTGAGGCAGCATAGAGCGAGCCGAGAATTTTCATAGTTTCATAATTATTAGGATAAGCTTTCAAAACTTTCTCAAAGCACTGAGATGCATTTTCTTTGTCACCTCGATAAATATACATTTGTCCCAAACCAAAAAATGGCAGCACAAAAGAGGATGAGGCAAACTGTGTGGCTTGATAGTAGTACTGGAAAGCTTGGTCATAATCTTCCTAAAAAGGAAGATCAAACAAGACCAACAAAACATATAAAAGTTTTTAAAGTCTTGCAAAACCATAAAACAAAAGAATTCGATATTTAGAAAAGATACACAATTATCTTACCTGAACATGGAATGACCTAGCGAGCTGATAGCAACTTTCTGCTTGCATAGCCTCCACCTCTGTGTTATGGAATGCATGCAGAGCCAAGTGCTGGACTTTACTATAATCCTGAACAACAAAGATTCAGAAATCAACTAAGGGAACTCCAACAACTCTAACAGCCTCAGTCATAAGGCTTCTTCAAATTTCATTTTTAAAATTTGTTAACTAAATTAACAGTAACAGCACTGTATTCAGAATTACAAATCATTTTTCTCATACCCTTTGCTTATAAATTCAGGAGAGATGGTGGGAGCTAACATTTACCCAGTACTTGACATTTGCCCATATATCTGTTACTTCATTTAATGCCCTTTGAGGTATTACCCCTATTTTTGTGATGAGAAAAACCTAAGAGAGGGTAAGTCCCTTATTCATAGCAATGGCAGCAGTGACAATTGAGTATTATTATATGCAAGCACTATGCTAGTTCTAAGCTTAGTCAAAAACCCTGCACAGAGTGTCATTACCATTTTATTGACAGGGAAACAGAAGCTTAAAGAAACAAAGTATGTTGTCTAAGGTGGAAAAGCTAGAATTTGAATTTGAGGGTTTTTTCTGACCCTAAGGGAATGTTCTGTCACATGATTCTTCCTCTATAGGGGAGGCAATCCAGCACTTGGATTTGAATTCAGCTCTGCTGAAAGCATGAGTTATGACAATCCGATTAGACCTGGCTTTCATTTGTATATCCAGCTAATCTGAGTTTCAAAATCAGTTTGTATATCAGGGGTAGGAAAAAACTTTCTGGTTTTAATAGGAATCTATTTTATTCGTTTGACTAGAAAACTGGTCTGAAGTAGAGTTTTTGTTTGGTCAATGTCCAGTTTTGACCTTTTTTTTTAACATTAGGAATAAATAATGTGACTGTAGTTTTTAACAGTAACTATTTCCCATTAGATAATTATTAAATATGCACATTACATTTAATCCTAACTACCACCCCTCAAATCCTATAAAGTTGGTATTATTACTGTTACGCAAGTGGGGAAATTAGCGTTTAGGGAACTTTATTTATTTGCCCAAAGACACATAACTATGTAATCGTGATGCCTGAATTTGAACCGAGTAATTCAAAATCCACATTTTTAGCTGTCACAACAGCTTTTTTATTATATTCATATGACTCTAGGATGAGGGTTAGGGTCAAATGTTGGGTTTATTTTGCTATGGAATCTACTTTAATTTTCCTATTTTTATTATTCTATGACTCGTGACACATCTTTTAGGGAATAAAATAGTTCATTTGAAATTTAACAATATACTAACTATTCTATTCTATTTTAAATTCCACATTCACATCTTCAGCACAAAATGAGACTTTATCTTTTTTAGTTTTTTCCTCCACAATTTTTGTCCTTAATCTACTCTGCATCCTGGCTACTTCTCTTCCCAATCAAGGACCAAGCTCAATTCTCAGCTCTCTCTGGAGGTCTCTGATAACTACTCCAGGAGTCACAAGAGCTCTCATATCTAAACCTTCTTTACCACTCAATTATTGAAGTGTCTGAGGTGTTAATAATACATTTTCTTCCAGCTAAATGATTCTTTTGTGGGGGAGACAATGTAGTGTGGTGGGCAGAGAATTAAAAGATCACATCTCAACTTTACTATCTGCTAGTGAAAGAAATTTGAGCAAGTGATGTTACTGAACTTTTCTGAGCCTCGAATTTCTTATGTATAGAAAGAGAAACAGAAATATCCTGCCCGTCTGCCTCTTCGGGCTGCTAAAGTGACAAATTGAGAAAACAGATGTATATACACTCTATAAACCTTAGGGATACATACTCAGCACAAGATGACCTCACATCACCTGGCACAGTGCTGACCACAGATCAGGTGTTCAGGAACACTCAAACAGGCTGCCTGATTTGCATACTTCACTCAAGCAATCTGTAAGGTTCTGTACATACTGATTATGTTAAGTACAAGCAAGTCTTTATCTTCAGCAGTGGAAAGGTGACTAACATTGAAAATCAAAAACTGAGTAATTTTCATTTGGTTCAAGGAACCTGTCCTAACAGCTCTAAGCACTGATTGTTGAATATATTGTTGATCACTTGAATATCAGAATTATGAGTCCTTTGTTTTTTCTGTAAAAACCAAACTACTTTGTGTAGCTCTTTTACCTTAAATAGTAACATTCCATTTACTTGTAAGATGCATTTCCATCTTCTCCCTAAGTAGTTGCCTTTTAATACTATTACAGTTACAGGGTAAAGCTTAACTAGTAATTCATTATGAAAGGGGAGGATGCTTTCACAGCCACAGGAAGTAAAGCCTCACGGTTAACAGCAATGTAACCTTAGGCTATTAACTCTGTCTCAATTATTCATCCACAAAATGGGGATATTACCTACCTCATATGATTATATGAATTTTATATGAATTCATGGAATGCACTTTTAACCATGTTTGGCATTTAATAGCAACAATAACAGCAACATAGTATCTATTATTAATAAAGACTGATGCAGTTTTGTGCATTTTTACCTAAACTGCAATTTAACTACTTTAAAGTTCTTAGTATAACTTAATAGCTAGTTTTGATATGGCAGATTAAACTTTCATGCTTACTGTATAAACAATTTGTCAATGAAATCTTGGGTTTACTATTTATGAAACCTAAAATACCATTGCTTCTGCAGATGCAACTTTAAAACTTACATCATGATCAAAATACAAACAAATTTCACTGCCTCCTTGTTGCCTACATAAGCAGGTCCAAACTCCTCGAATCACACAGCTGCCCCACTATCTGGATCCTGTCATGAGCCCACCATATGCTAGGCTCTCATTAAACTATTTCACAGATCTGTGTCTTTCCCCTTTCAACTACCTAGTAACTTCCTCCTGAAAACCTAGTTCAAGAGCTTTTCCTTCTCAGTGAAAACCTTCCTTAACCACTTAATTACTTCCTCTTTCATTTCTCTACTACAGCCGGGTAGAGACCTTTATTTTCACATTTACATTTGCTTATGAGTCTGTGTTTTCTATGAACTGAGCTCCTTGAGTGCAGCACCACATGTTCCCGATCTCTACATCCGTATCACAGTGTGGGGTATGGCCTAACGGGTCGGTAAATATCAAATGAATGAACAAACATACAGATAAGTAATACAAACTTTCATTTGAAGAAAAAAAAACTCTTGATATTTTCAAATTTCTTTCCAAGTTAATAAAGTTCTCAATTACAACAGAAAAAAATAAAAATCAGGATTTAAAAACTAATGACTTTAAATAAATGTCTTCTACCTTTTTGAAGAAAAAGTGATTTGCCAAGTGGTTCAAAACCATAGGGTTGCTAGGATCAATAGTATAGGCTCTGGAAAGAAGCTGAACACCATTTTTGATGGAATCGGCCTAAAAGAAAAACAATGAAAGCAGGGTTGAGTGAAAGAAAACACTACTTAATTAGCATTTTTTCAAAGTTTTCTTTACAGTCCGAAGAAATAGGTTATATAAGTCTAAATTCAGATACTAAAATATAACCCTTATTTTAGTTAACCTTCACCAGGAATAAAAAATTTCAAACAGTGAGTTAAATCGTTAGACTTTAGTTTTGTTAACAAATTTGACTACAGAAGCATGCCCACTAGAAAGCACTTCTGCCTGCTGATATTTGGTGCATTTAATAAATATGCTTGATAGTAGAGTCCTAAATAATTTACGACTAATAAGGCAAATAGTAGAAAATACTCCAAGAGTACACTTTTAACAGCTTTGTTGACATATCATTCACATACTATTTATCCACTGAAAGTGTACAATTCAACTTTTTTTAGTATGTTAAGAGTGGTACAACCATTATCACAATTGAACTTTGTAACTTTTTCATCATCCCCAAAAGAAAGCCCATACCCATTAGCAGTCATTTTCCATTTATCTACTCCCCATTCTCCACTACCCCCAGCCCTCTTCAACTGCTAATTCGCTTTCTGTCTCTATAGATTTGATTATTCTGAACATTTCATTTAAATGGGATCATACAATGCGGTCTTTTGAGCGTGGCTTATTCCACTTAGTCTATTTCATCCTTATTGTAGCACGTATTAGTACTTTACGTATTTTATTCGTAAGGTTTTAAAGTTTTGCTTCTCACATTTAAATCTTTACTCCATCTGTAAATAATTATGGCATGAGTTAGGGTTATAACTTTTGATTATCAATTGTCCATTGGTTGATCAGGCTACTTCTGTTACAATCAGGTTTCCATCTTTATGCAGGTCAGTTTGAGCTCTCTGTTCCACTGGTACTACAGTGTACTACTATCACACTAGCTTTATCACTATAGCTCTATAAGCTCTATAAATAAGTTCTCTCCCTATCTCATTGTTATTCAAAACTATTTGGCTAATCTTGATTCTTGGTGTGGGTAAAATTGTAACATTTCCAGAATATCTCACCTGGCTTTAGACATCTGCATATCAATAGGCATTCAGAGGTGGAAAGAAGTATGGCTTTAGTGCATTTGCATCATTCCTCAGGGGTGGAGAGAAGTTCCTTTCCATATCAGTGGGTAATTACCTGGGCAAGGGAGGGCTTATCTGTACCTGAGAGGTGAGGGGGAGGGCCGGTTTTGCTTCTGTTGGAGCAGGAAAGAGAGATGGCCCAGGACTGGAGTTTGTAAGCAATAAACGGGTTTTTAAACTTTATTTCTCCCTTTGACTGATTTAGGTTTTTAGAGGTATTTTGCCCTGGGATTTCCTCTCACCAGACTCACACTTGGCTTTTATGAAATTTAGATCAGATTGTCATGTTCTATGAAAACTGTTTGGATTCAAAGGGTCTCTTCCTATGACCTGAACAAAGCTGAGTTTCTGTTGTTAGGAAACATAGCTCTATGTTTCTGTGAAATGGCTATTGGAAAAGCAATAGACAGTTTCTGCCAACAACTTCTATTTCTACAATAGAATGAATGAGTGATGAATTTTCTCAAATGTTTTTTCTGCATCCAGATAAATGACCATGTTGTTGTTTTTTTCAATGTTGAAATGTCCTTGTGTTCCTGTGATAAACTCTACTTGGGTGTTTGTTTTTTGCTTTTTTGGCTGTATATTCATAAACAGAATCTGGCCTTATAAATTTTCTCTCCTTACTACTTATGACTGTAAAATTCAGTTTAAAATGTATATCCTCCTAAAAAAAATTAAGATTTCCTTCATTCTCCTTTTTCTGCAGGTTTGTGTTAAGGATTATTTGTTCCTTGCAAATTTGACAAAACTTAACTGTAACACAGCCGAGGCTGATGACTGACTCAACTTCTTTATTGGTTATTGGCTTGAATTTTCCATTTCTATTGATGAGACATATTTATTAGCAAAAAGCTACTCACTGTATGACAAGTTCTTGTATCCTGTCATATTTGCTCCATGGAAACCCCTCTGGTTTTATTTCATATGTTCCTCAATCCCTTTTAATCCCCTCCTCACCAGAACACCACTTTGGATGTATATCCTAGTATGCACTATCTTATAAAACATGTGATGTTGTTTATGTGTATTAAACAAATATAAAAAGTATACATGCTGTGAATCTCATTCTGATTATTTTTGTTTGTCAACACATTTTTAAGATAATATCCATGCTGCTAGAGGTATATCTAGGTTATTGCTCTCTCCCAAAAGCTATCCCCTAACCATGATGCCTAACTCTCTTCTCCCTATTTTCCTTCTTATCTTTCTGGGGGCTCCTCTGTTGGGGGGAAAATTGGTTTGGAGATGCAGGAAGTCAGAGTATAAGGTGATTAGAATGCAAAAGCAAAGTAACAAAGACACCACTGGAAAAGCGCAGAGAAAATGTTATAAGTGAGAGATTTATTTAAAGGAAAAAAAGGTGCACACTCAGAGAGAGGAGAGTGTGGGCTACATCAGAGAAGAGGCGCCCTCAGGTTTTAGGGTCTGGGGTTTTATAGGCGGTTGAGGATTTTCAAAGCGCGAGGGATGTGGACTTGTTAAGTGATCCCTGAATATTTATCCTTGATGAGTCATTACATCTTTCTTTTGATTAGTTTTCCAGGTAATTCTCCAAAATTAATACAAGAAATTTACTGTTGATTTCTTCCCAGAATAGCAGCTTTTTGGTCCAGGGGCATATCAATTAGGACTATTTGCCCTGCCCTCCAGGGTGGGCCAAGTTATTATTTGCTTGCTAAACGGTAGGTTAAGAATCTTACTTCCTGGATTTTTTAAAATGCAATTTTGTCTTTAAGGTGGGATCTCCCTGTTTTTATTATGCTGTTTATAGGTGGACCTTTTAGCAAGCTAGAGTAAATCTTACAATGATCTAGTTGACACAAATAAGACATGGGCTATGCTCAGATACTTCTCTTTATATCTGGGGAATATTCAAACATTCAAGGCCAAGTTGCTCTTGACCTTTTGAGCTTTAACTGATTAACTCTAACTCCAGTCTTTTCTGGCTTTCTAGTTTAACTGGTTAGCTGAGTCCTTTCTAGGGGGCTTTATGGACCTTGTTCTCTTTCCACACTGCTCATATCTATTTTCCTGCCTAACACTTAGAGATTATAGTAAATTCTTCTACATACTTATAGTTAAATGTCAGTTCTACATACTTCTCCAGGCTTTGAATTGAGACGGACAACAGCTTGTGCTATTTCATCATTGTGACAGGAACTGGAAGCCTCAAGATTTTTAAATACTGCATTTGTAATCAAATCCCCCCTTTTTAATTCATGTTATTTTGTTTAACTTTTTTCTCTTTTTCTTTTCTTGTTCAGTTCTTGCTTGAGATTTTCTGCTTTGTTAGTCTCCCACTTCTCCCCCAAAGAGCAACCTTTGGTTTTACTGATTCTAGCTGTCTTTTGGGTGGTAGACGTTTGTGGATTATTCAACAATCATTTTACCCCTCTTACTCTGCTAACATAATCCAGACTTTGTTGCCTGTGATCTTTTGATTTCAGGAAAGAAAGCTGCCTCCTCTTCTCCAACCCCCAGGAGATGAATCATGATTCATCTAAACCTGTCAAAAGAATCTATTCTTCATTTCTGGAGATTGGCCTAAGGCAGTGATTCTCAAGGGGGGGCAATGTCATTTTTGGTTAGCAAAATTTGGAGGATGTGCTGGCAGTCTGTGGGCAGAGGTCGGGGATACTACTAAACATCCTGAAGAGTAGAACTCCCCACACTAAAGAATTATCTGGCCCCAGTGCTAACAGTGCAGAGGCTGGGAAACATGTAGGGAAGCATGATGGGGAGCTTCTTTCTCAATGTAGGGCAGAAACTTCTCTATGAGAAAGCCTTTTATCCTTTCCCTTTCCTCCCTCCTTATAAGGGTGATATAATAATGAAATGCCTGGAGATGCAGCAGCTACCTTGCAACTCTGAGGTGACAGATAGGAGGAAAAGCTACATATTAAGGGAAGACAGAAAGATACAAAGCCCTGCATTTGATGATACTAAGGTGCCAAATCTGAGACTTTAGACAGCTGGTTTATTAAACAATAAAAACCCTTATGTTAAGTCATTTCAGTATGCTTTCTGTTACTTGCAATCAAAAGCATTCCAAACTGATAAACAGTCTACAATCCCTTATCTGAGATGCTGAAATCAAAAACCTCTAAAAAAAAACAAAAGTATTTTGTAATCTTGGAGCAAGCTCATTTGGTGGCAAAACGTTAAGTGTGAGGCTATCCTATTAGTATGAATAGTCATTCATTTTGCCATAGAAATATAAATTTGCATTTGGGGCTATGTCCTAATAACTGATGTGTTACATATTATGCAGTGCAGGCACCATTATTACATTTCTATAATCTGAAATCTTGACTTCCAAAACACANTTCCAGCCACACTGGCTTCCTCCCTGTTCCTCAAACTTCCCAGGCCCATTCTTTCCTCAGGATCTTTGTACCGCCTATTCCCTCTCTCTGAGAGTAATCTCAAATTATCCTTTTAAATATAAGTCAGATCATGTTACTCACTCCTCTGTAGCCCTCCAGTGGTTTCCTATGTCTCTCAGAGTAAAAGCTAAAGTCCTTATAATAATCCATGATGCACGTGATTGCCCCCTGGTTATATCTTTGACCCCAGTTCTTACTATTTCTCCTCCTCATTCTCTCTCTCTCTCTCCCTTCCAGCCACACTGGCTTCCTCCCTGTTCCTCAAACTTCCCAGGCCCATTCTTTCCTCAGGATCTTTGTACCGCCTATTCCCTCTCTCTGAGAGTAATCTCAAATTATCCTTTTAAATATAAGTCAGATCATGTTACTCACTCCTCTGTAGCCCTCCAGTGGTTTCCTATGTCTCTCAGAGTAAAAGCTAAAGTCCTTATAATAATCCATGATGCACGTGATTGCCCCCTGGTTATATCTTTGACCCCAGTTCTTACTATTTCTCCTCCTCATTCTCTCTCTCTCTCTCCCTTCCAGCCACACTGGCTTCCTCCCTGTTCCTCAAACTTCCCAGGCCCATTCTTTCCTCAGGATCTTTGTACCGCCTATTCCCTCTCTCTGAGAGTAATCTCAAATTATCCTTTTAAATATAAGTCAGATCATGTTACTCACTCCTCTGTAGCCCTCCAGTGGTTTCCTATGTCTCTCAGAGTAAAAGCTAAAGTCCTTATAATAATCCATGATGCACGTGATTGCCCCCTGGTTATATCTTTGACCCCAGTTCTTACTATTTCTCCTCCTCATTCTCTCTCTCTCTCTCCCTTCCAGCCACACTGGCTTCCTCCCTGTTCCTCAAACTTCCCAGGCCCATTCTTTCCTCAGGATCTTTGTACCGCCTATTCCCTCTCTCTGAGAGTAATCTCAAATTATCCTTTTAAATATAAGTCAGATCATGTTACTCACTCCTCTGTAGCCCTCCAGTGGTTTCCTATGTCTCTCAGAGTAAAAGCTAAAGTCCTTATAATAATCCATGATGCACGTGATTGCCCCCTGGTTATATCTTTGACCCCAGTTCTTACTATTTCTCCTCCTCATTCTCTCTCTCTCTCTCCCTTCCAGCCACACTGGCTTCCTCCCTGTTCCTCAAACTTCCCAGGCCCATTCTTTCCTCAGGATCTTTGTACCGCCTATTCCCTCTCTCTGAGAGTAATCTCAAATTATCCTTTTAAATATAAGTCAGATCATGTTACTCACTCCTCTGTAGCCCTCCAGTGGTTTCCTATGTCTCTCAGAGTAAAAGCTAAAGTCCTTATAATAATCCATGATGCACGTGATTGCCCCCTGGTTATATCTTTGACCCCAGTTCTTACTATTTCTCCTCCTCATTCTCTCTCTCTCTCTCCCTTCCAGCCACACTGGCTTCCTCCCTGTTCCTCAAACTTCCCAGGCCCATTCTTTCCTCAGGATCTTTGTACCGCCTATTCCCTCTCTCTGAGAGTAATCTCAAATTATCCTTTTAAATATAAGTCAGATCATGTTACTCACTCCTCTGTAGCCCTCCAGTGGTTTCCTATGTCTCTCAGAGTAAAAGCTAAAGTCCTTATAATAATCCATGATGCACGTGATTGCCCCCTGGTTATATCTTTGACCCCAGTTCTTACTATTTCTCCTCCTCATTCTCTCTCTCTCTCTCCCTTCCAGCCACACTGGCTTCCTCCCTGTTCCTCAAACTTCCCAGGCCCATTCTTTCCTCAGGATCTTTGTACCGCCTATTCCCTCTCTCTGAGAGTAATCTTCTTCCATATATCTGTAACCCTCTTATTAGTTTTTTTAGGTCTTTATGCAAATGTTACTATTTCAGTGATACATTTACCTGCTCACCCTTTCCAAGCCCACTGCCTTCTCATACCCACTCCTTTCTGCTGTGTACTTTTCCTTTGCCCTTTCCAATATCTGACAGTATGTATTCTACTCATTTTATCTTCCTCACTGGAAAATGAATTACATGAGGACAGGGACTTTTGCCTTTGGTTCATTGCTGCATTCCCTGGGTCTAGAAGAACACCTTTCACATAGTTGGTACTCGGTAAAATTTGCTAAATGAATGGGATTTTGAAAAGAAAAATAGCATAGGGCAAAAAAATTATAATATGATCTACTATTCAGCTTGTTAACCAGACATAGTATTTTTTAAAAACCTTCAATTCTGGTTTCTCAAAAAACTAAAAATAGAAATATCATATGATCCAGCAATTCCATTTGTGGGAATTTAACCTAGGAAAACAAAATCACTAATTCAGAAGGATATATGCACCTCTAAATTTTTCTCAGCCTTATTTACAAATAATGGAAAACCAAAACTGGAAAGCCAAAGTATGGAAACAACCTAAAGATGAATGGAAAAAAAGCTGCCATACATGAATAAATGGAATATTACTCAGCCATAAAAAAGAATGAAATCTTGCCATTTGTGACAACATAGATGGACCTAAAAGGTATTATGCTAAGTGAATTAAGTCAGATGGAGAAAGACAAATACCATATGATTTCACTAATATGTGGACTCTAAAAAACAAAATAATGAACAAAGCTGTAATAGACTCATAAACACAAACAGACTGGTTACCATAGAAGAGAGAGATGGGAAGATGGTTGAAATAAGGGAAGGGGAAAAAATTAGTGAACATGTTTGGTATCTTGATCTGAGTGATGGTTACATGAGTGTACACATGTCAAAATTCATGAAACTGTACACTAAGATTTGTGCATTTTATTGTCTGTACCTCAATTTAAAAAATTTCAACAATCCTATCATATTTTTTCATGACTAATTTTCATAAGCAACTGTCAAATCCTCAATATTTTAAGTTGGATAATACACGGCTTAGACCTAAAGTTCTTCTCTTACCTGGACATCCTGGGTTAGTACGTAATGCTTTCTTATAGTAAGCAAGAGCTCCTCTATAGTCTTTCTTGTTGAATGAAATGCAAGCTTTACCTGTAATGATTTTTAAAAATAAACATGCATTGATTAAAGAACCCAAGTCTCACATGCTGTACACTAACTACCTAAATCAGATACATCTCTCAGTAAGAAATACTGAGATTTCATATCAAAACTTGTTTTCCATAAGGGCATATAAATTTATGCCTATAGATACAACAGTTCTGTCTTTAGGTTAAACGTTATAAAACGATAATTAAAATAGCTTAGAATTGTCCAAAGAGAGATTGTTTACTGACTTTTAGAAGTGAATAACAAATTATTCTTAACTGGTATATATTTTATTTCTGTAATTTCAACAGAAACAATGATCTGTTACAAATAGTTTCATTTTTACTAAGATAAAGCTCTTCAACTTTGTGGTCCAGACCAGTTACTAACGAGCTATTATAAACAGACATATTCTAGGCAAGTGCTGAAAAATATAGATTTCTAAGATGACTGCAGAAAATGACTTACCAAGAAGGGCTGGAATATTATTTGGAGACTGGTTGAGTACAAAGTGAAACTGTGCATCAGCCTGATCCATTTTGTCACCTTCAAGTAGGCAGAAACAGGCTCTTCCCAACAAATGGTTCTGAAAAAGTAGTGCATCATCTTTACTTCAAGACTTTAACATGAATGTGTACATTAAAATGAAAACCATCTAAGGAGGTGGAGCATCACACAAATTCCTGTATCAACTGTAATATATTTTAACTACCAATAAGCAATTCTTAATTACAAATTGAGAAATTATCCTAAAATGCAAATCTTTGGTGACAGGGAAAATGACAAAAAGAAAAGTTAGAACTCCTTAAAATATGCTTGAAACTCACCTGGAGATGTTGGAATTACTAACTCAACATATGGATAAGTTTTGTGTGTTAAATTTGCCCACATTATTTCAACAGTACAAGGACTAAAGTAATTCTAATTTTAATGAGAAATATCTCTTCTTTTTGACTATTTATATTAACTATGTTATTTTAAGAAAAGTTAAAAATCTGTTGCCCATCACATACATTTTGCTTTCATAAATTCAAAGAAATCTGACTTCTTTACCTGATCATACATAATAATTTTATCAGCCATTGTATACAAGAGGGTTGCCTGGGTAATAAGATCTTTTTTATTGTCCTTATTCTTTTCCTTCCTAGCCTGTTGTACATAATAAGCAGCCAATGTATCCAAGCAAGTCATCTGGTCTTTTTCATGGTCTCTGTAGTCCAAATTGCCATCAATCCGTGCTGCTTCCAACAACTTTACAAACTCTTCTGTTTTTCCTTGCTTGTAGTATTCCAGCTATAAAGCAAAGAATCAAATTAGAATTACTAAAACATACGTTGTACAAAAATGCTTATAGCAGCTTTATTTGTAATAGCCCCGAACTGGAAACAACCCAAATGCTGATCAACAGGTGAATGGACAAACAAGCTGAGGTATATCTGTACAATGGATACTGCTCAGCAATAAAAAGAAAGGACCTACTGATACATGCTACAACATGGATATATCTCAAAATACGCCAAGCGAAATAAGCCAGACCAAAAAGAGTATATACGGTATGATTCCATTTATATAAAACTACAGGAAACACAAACTAAACTTTAACAACAAAAAACATATCATATCTGGGGTAAAAAACAAAAACAGATCAGGGGTTGCCTGGGGACTGTGGGAGGTAGGTGAGAGTTTGGAGGAAAATTTTTGGCAGTGATGACGTACACATTATCTTGATTGTGGTGACGATTTCATGGGTGTATACATATGCTAAAGCTTCTCAAGTAGTAAACATTAAATATGTGTAGTTTATGACAGGTGACTTACACCTAAGAAAGCTGTTTAAAAAGATTACAATCACTACAAATATTTCCAGTTCACTTCTTCCCTAGCAATAGTTGATTTCAAACTAACTCTGAGCCCAAGAGAAAGCAATATTAAGACATAAAAGGAATTCTAAACGGAAAACTTGGAATCTGGTTCTAGATCTATCAAAAATGATTTGACTTTGGGCCTGTTTAATAACTTCCCTCGGTATGTGTTCCATAATTAATAATAAAAGTTATATCCATCATTTGTCAACCACTTACTATATGGCCACATACTCTGCCAGGAGCTTCATACACATTAATCTGTACAACCACCTTGAAGTGAATACTAACATTCTCATAAAAAAGCAAGTGCAATAGATAGATCATTTGTGTAAGGTCACATAGCTAGTAAGCAGCCAAGATGAAATTTGAACAAAGGCTTCTCTAATCCCAAAGCCTACATTCTTTCATCTGTAATAACCTATAATCCACAATCTTTCAACAATTTATCTTACCACAGCTGCCCTGCTGATTCTCCAATATTTCAATTTTTTGTGTAAGTGCTGCTAATGGAGACATTTGTATTAAAAAAAAAATGTGTGACAAAAGCATGAATGGTTTTTTCCTTCACAGACTAGGAAAACTTAGCACTTCATGTAGGAAGGCACTGTTTGTCACTGAAAGTACTTTGCTGTAAATCCATATCTGAGAAACTCTTGGAATTAGGTTTGGGCACTGGATACAAGCCCAATTCCAGACCTACTTATCTGACCCTTCAAGACAATATTAGGAGCCTCTTCTGTATCTTTATGAAAGAGACCAGTGGCACCCCTTGCTTTGGAATAATGATTATAGTACTTAACTATATTATATAACTGTAATAGTTTACTATAATGTTCCCATAAAAAGGAAACATCATTATACAATGGGGGCTGGGGAAGGGGGAGGGTGTTAGAATTTCAGGCTCTCTGAGTGATTTTTCTGGGTATCTCCAGTAGTATTTATGTTATGGAAGGGACCAAATGGGATAAAAAACTTAAGCTCGAGATAAACTTCATCCAAGAGGGCTTTTTTGTGAGTTAGCCTGGAACCTAATCACCTTTTAGAGTATTTTGGGAGAAATGTTTTATTGTTACAGGAAACAATGTAAGGTAGAAATGTTTGCATAATGGCACCTTGTTTTTTGTGGGCATCTTACCTATAATAATCACTAAATAATCAAACACTCAATATAGAATTAGGTATATTTAACTTAAATGCATTTCCTTTACCAGTATGTATTAATTTGTCAGTGGAGTAGCACATTATTTAGGAAACTGGCATTTTTGTCCTACAGATGATAATACAATTAACTTCCATACATACGGTACAATTAATTTATTTATCACACACTCAAGCTGGCTATTACTGTATCTGAAAACAGAAACCACATGCTTTTCCCAATCAACATTTTAAAAAATACATAACATGAATACTGACCGCCAAAGCAATCCATATGTGCAGTTGTGTGTGCTCCTGTTTCAGAATACTGATAACTTCATCCCCCTCTGGTAACTGATCGAAGTCAAGTTCAATGACCTAAAACAGAAAATGTAGATTTTAACTCCTGGTTTGTTTATTTGTTTGTTTTAATTTACATTTCTCCTTTGACTGATGCTTTTCTTTAATATACATGAATATGATATCTCTAAGGTTGTGTTCACTTTCAACAGAGCTGAGCAAGTGTATGTTAAGAAATGTTTAAGGAACACATGCAAGTAGGTTATATAGTAATATTAAAGTAAAAACATAGAGTAGCAAACAAATCTTGCTAATTGTCCTCAAATCACCAGAACTACAAAATACTACAAAAGCTTTGCTTACTCAAAAATAACAAACAAAACCCTGTTTAACCATATAATGCAGGTAAAGTGCAGATGAGCAGCCCACAGACTCATGCCATAGGTCTGACACCTTTCTCAGCACAATTCTAGAGGCAATGCAAAGTTGAATGCCACTGTACACATTAATCATGGAGGCAGCATTTGTGTGTCACAGACACCCCTGAATGTGGGCACCAAAATAACAGGAGGAAATGTTCTGGAATTAGACAGCAGTGATGGTTACACAACTTTATGAATATTACTAAAAACCCTGGATTTTACAGTGAGTGAATTATATCTCAATACTGTGTTTCAATCATACAAACAAAAGTAAGAGTAGGCGATATCCAGTGAGACAATACGAATGCTGAGAGCTGTACTCAGACAAGCCATACGCCACTCATGACTGAAGCGCGGAAAGGAAGGGGGTAATTCTATTAGCACACAGGAGCGTCTGTATCGTGGAGGTCTCTACTTCGCTGATGGAGCCTTGTGTGGCGGACACAGCGCACCCTGACAGACGCGAGTTTCTAAGGGAGAGAGTGACATCCCAGAGAAAGATACTTGGTGTGGGCAGTAGACAGACGGCGGTGACACCAGCGCCCACCTTTGATCTGTGAGGTGCTCTGCAGTTTATCGGGGACCCTCACACCCCAACACCCGTGAATCAGGAAAAGAGCAGAGTACTGTCAAATACGAACAGGTTGGAGGGGAACTTTCATGAACTCCTTGGGGTGGACCCAAGGCCGCGGGGACATGGTGTTCCCCGCCTGGGAGGGCGCAAGAGCTGGGGAAGGAGGTGATCAGAGCTTCGGCTGGGGATTTCGATCTGACTCCGGGAGGAGAGGGTGCTCTCGCTTCCGAAATGAAATCGAGAGAAAGGGAGAGGAGGGGACCGTCCAAATTCACGGCTCCAACCCTCCCCCATACTAGGCACTTACCTCGTCGGTGTCCCGGAGGGGGATCTCGATGGAGCCCCGCGACATGATGCGGTCAGAAGGCCAGCGGGCGTCTCGCCCCGCCGCTCCTCAGCCGGGGTTCCTGGCTTCTGCCAGTCTAGAGGCTAGCGGCGGCTTGAGGGCTGGTCGTGACTGCCGCCCCGCGGCGCCGCCGGAGCCAAACCTTCTCCTTCCCGTCAGCCGCTTAAACAACGAGCCGCAGACAGCGTCCGGCCACTTCCAGCAGCCCCGCCCCCTGCCCCGGAAGCAGTCCCCGCTGGGGGGCTCTGTCCGACGCCGTCCTCTGTCTGCGGTTTCGGTGTTACCGGGACTGTAGGACTATGGCTTCGCGTAGCGAACCGTCACCTCTGTGGGCCTGCGGCTTCTGAGTCCAACTTGCGCCGTGCCGCGCGCTGGACTTCACGCGTCACAGGCGTACCCGCCGGGGCAACAAAGGAGGCGCGTTCGGGGCCTAGTGCGAGACCAACGGCCAATTCTAGCAGCCCTCTCCACGGGCCGAGCCTGTCTTGGCCCTTGGAGGGTGGGCCTGGCCAATCTTGTTTTCTTAAGATTGCCATGAATAATTATTTCGTTCCTCAACCCAGTCATTGGTTGATAGTCAATAGCAGCTATTAGGTGTGAGTCATACCTGTACTACCTTTGTGATCACTTTTAAGTACAGTTGTTATAACGAATTCTGTAATCAGTGCGATAGTTCATGTATTGTGTGTGTGTGTTTTGAAGCATGTGAGAATCTGGTGGATTTGTGATTTCAATAAAATTGTTGAAGAATTTGATTAAGCCTACAATCAATGTTTTGATTATATTACAGAATTTGATTAAATAGGTTTTAATTACCGTTTTCATTAAATTATATAATTAAATCTGCTTGCAAGCAATGTTTTGATTGGATCAGAGAAGGATCTGATTAAGTAAATTTGTAAACAGTGGCAGTTTTACTTCCCAAGTGTCTCTCAAATGTACCGTCTTTTCATCTCCACCATCTCTCTAGCCCAAACCAATATTATTTTCCTTCCTGGATTATTGCAGTTGCCTCCTATTTAACTCAATACTTCATCCACTATGGCCCCAGAGTTCAATCTAGCTTCATCATGTTACACATTTATATTTAAAAAATACCAACTTGTTTGTGTTTCCTCCCACCTCCCTCAAAGCCTTTAAGTGGAAGCTTTGTTAAATTTATGTTTTGATTAGTTGCATAACAATTTCAATGTTTGGAGCTGAGCAGTCCAATACAAAAATAATGCTAACTAGGTAGGTAATTAAAATTTTCTAGTAGCTGCATTAAAAAAAAGTAGATGGAATTAATTTTAGTGGTATGTTTTATTTAACCCAATATATCCAAAATAAATATAATTTCGACACATAATCAATATAAAAACTGAGACAAATGTTTCATACTAAATCTTGGAAATCCAAGATTAATTTGAATTTTAATTAAATATTTTTAATTAATTAAAAAATAAATTTAAATTCAGCTCGGTTGCATCTTTCATCTGGTGAGTGTACACTATATTGAGAGCTCAGCACAGTATTTCTAGGAAACACTGTTTAGTACATTTTAAGGTGTATCAAGTGAGCATTAAACAAAAATACATGTAGACTTCCTAGTGCATTGTATATATGGCCATTGGAAAAGTAGTATAAAGAAGAATTCTGGTACAAACAACTGAGTGAATGAAATGTCATTTTTCAAGATAGGAATGATTAGTGGAGGAGTCCCTTTGGGTGAGGGTAGATCACTTTGCCCTGACTCTGATATCTCTGAGACAGATAATCAGACAAGCAGTTGGATATACAGATAAGAAACTCAGAAGACAGTGTCTGAGCTGGAGAAATAAGTGTGAGAGCTGCTGGCATACAGACGAAATTTTTTTTTTTTTTGAGAGGGCATCTCTCATATTTATTGATCAAATGGTTGTTAACAACAATAAAATTCTGTATAGGGGAGTCAATGCTCAATGCACAATCATTAATCCACCCCAAGCCTAATTTTTGTCAGTCTCCAATCTTCTGAAGCATAACGAACAAGTTCTTAGATGGTGAACAAATTCTTAGATAGTGAATAAGTTCTTACATGGTGAACAGTACAA